AACCTTAACGAATTTTTAGAATTTTTTAGCAATTTTTTGAGGTGATGACGCTAGGTAGTACGTTACAGTTTTACTATTAACAGAAGCAAAAGTTACGTAACGAAGCGTTTTAATTAAAAGTGTTCTCTACGGGAATGTACTACTATACTGTTGGCAATATTTTGGGTTTGGAGGAACGAATTTTATTATTTTTGGGATTGGGAATTTGGGACAATTTTATTATATTTGAGGTTTTGAGGATTTATAGTTTTTAGTCATTACACAAACTCTAACCTTAATGCTGTAATATTAAGTTAACGTTTCCATCTTTGACACGTGATAAAAATTTGTTAATTTCCGGTGAAACATGACAATCAAAACAATTTTTACAAACGAAAAATTAAACCCTCGCTTATGGTTAGGGTAAGGGTGGGATCGGGATTGAGCAAAGTATAGCCTATACCAAAATTTCATAAGGAATTTTTTTTTGTTAGAAGCCAAAAGGTGGTTTCATAATCAAAATTTTGAGGTAATGTATTGTCCGTGTACATACACTCCGTATACAAATAGAAATTCTCTTACAATTACAGAATTATGTTGCATTTAACGTTAAAAACAAGGGTTTGATTGGTTTATATAAATAGATTGATATACCTATTGGTTTAAAATCACGTTCACGCGCGTTAAACATAGCTCGTCTTTATAGCTCTAACTTAGGTTAACAAAGTCAGTTAAAAAATAATTGCAAACGAGAGTTAACTTTATTTACCAAAAACTTTAAAGTTCACATAATGTGAAAACCTCTTAAGAATGTTACATTCTTTAAAAACTATTGGTAGGTCTAAGTATCCCTTGTTTCAAATTTCGCATATATTTGGGTATATGCCACAAGAAGAAATCGTATAGCTTGAATTAATATTGTCTTAAATATTATAATCTTCGAGCATTTTACAAATCAAGTTTAAATTATTTCAAAATGTTTAGTCACCGCATTTACAGTATTCACAAACTCCATTTAACAGGTTTTGTGATTCTTTTCTTTAGTTTTTACATTTTTAAAAACGTTGAATCGTTTGTTCCAGAAGCTCGATATGCTCATAGTGCCACTTTAGTTGATAATAAACTTTATTTCTTTGGTGGACAAGTCTCGGAAATAAATCAAGGGCAAGAACTTTTCCATATTTATGGTGAATTGTTTTACCTTGATGTTTCAACTTCCTTCAACATCGAATCTCCATCATGGACGGATCTTACAGCCTCTAAACGTGTTCCAGTGAGAAATTCATGGGCGGCATCATCGGTTGGCTTCGGATCAAAACCAGCCAATAATCTTGATAGATCAACTATTTACCTGATCGGTGGTTTGATGTATATCACTAACCAAAATGCCATAGTTACTGACATAGCTTATGCGTTCGATACCAAATCTCAACAATGGAAGTTACCGACGACTAACGGTTCGGGACCAAATAGGCGACGAGATGTTCAGGCTGTTTCTGATAATACTGGTAAAATTTATTATTTTGGTGGGAAATCTGATTATACTACTACAGGATCTCCGGATGAAAGTGTAATTCGTTATAATTCTATGAACATCTTGGATACTGCTCAATTATATTGGTCGATTGGTTCTATTATCGATGCTCCTTCACCACGCGAGGGTTATAGCGCAACCCTTTTCATAAATTTGATTATCTTTATTGGTGGAAGAGAGAATAGCAATGACGGTCAACCTTTTCATCTCGTGAATATAAGTCAAGTAAGATTTTTCGATTTACTCAAATTCACCTAAAATGTTTATAAACTGAACTAAATAAATAGTTATAGATTCCAGTATACGATACCCAATCTTCAAAGTGGCATTTAACGGTATGTGTGCTTTCATTAAATCAATTAATTGGAATATTTCAAATTTTCATATTTCATTACTAGA